GTTAGGTTAGGTCAGGTTATGGTTAGGTTAGGTTACAATGAGTCGCTATTTCCCAGCCATTAAGCGCAACAAAGTATAATTCTCGTCGGTAAAATCACCAGTTTGGGCTAATATGACCTGACCTATACAGTACTTTAGAAATTAGTTAATACCATGTAATTTACTGTGATTTAATTGAATTTTGACCATTATATCAGGTAAGACAGTACCCGTTTTAGAGTTAACCCCCCCCATGCACCCCCCCCCCACCCCCACCTCACAAACACAAAAAATAAAAACATATTATCAAATTCATTTCTGCCGCCGTCTTTCTTTGCCCGCTGGTTGAAATGGTGTTAGAAATATTCCAATAAGGGGTCTAAAAAGTTTAAAAATCAATACTTACAGTTAATTGACAGTCACCACCACTTAGTTACAGTCTGTAGATTGTAGAGGAACAGTTCACCACCACTTGTTTAGTTACAGTCAGTAGAGGAGCAGGTCACAGTCACCAGCTCAAAGTGACAGTACCTTCCGGCGCAGTTAATGTCGACACACTGACTTAGAAGTAGACAACATTGACTATTAGTATTGGAAATGCACACTAGTGGCGCTGGCGTAGTGAATGAATCAGCGAACCAAGAGATCCGAACCCCCAAAAGAACAGAACCCCCCAAAAGATCCGAACCCCCAAAAGAACAGAACCCCCCAAAAGATCCGAACCCCAAAGATCCCGAGTCATAGTGAAGCCAGAAGTCACTGAACCTAACACAATGAACAACAAATCCGAACCACAGTGAAGGAAGAGCCATTAAATCTAACACAGTGAACACAGTAATCCATTTATTTCTTGAAGTTATTTTCAGTTAATATAAAATAAAATACAACTTGAAGGTAAAATTAATACACACGAATACTTCTTTATAATTTATGTATAGTGTATAATGTAGTATATACATTATAGAAGAGAAAGACTTACCTGTTCCTCTCTCTTAGCTGTACAGGTAAAGTTATTAATTAACAAAAACACGACCCAAAAATATACATAAACTATACACACAGATTATTAATACATATACATTATAAACTAGAGGTAATTATATAAACATTAGGTGTATAAACCGGACTGAACGATTATATAACACGGGATTAAACTGGATTATTATACAGAGTGGATCCGGGTTGATATACTGTACAGTGTTAAGGCCTTGTGGTACTGAGCAATAGATAGTGACACGGCATGTGACACTGAAACATGTGACACTGAAACATGTGACACTGAAACTGACATGAGACACTGACATATGTGACACTGAAACTGACATATGTGACACTGAAACTGACATATGTGACACTGAAACTGACATATGTGACACTGAAACTGACATATGTGACACTGAAACTGACATATGTGACACTGAAACTGACACATGTGACACTGAAACTGACATATGTGACACTGAAACTGACATGTGACACTGAAACTGACATGTGACACTGAAACTGACATGTGACACTGAAACTGACACATGTGACACTGAAACTGGCACATGTGACACTGAAACTGACATATGTGACACTGAAACTGACATGTGACACTGAAACTGACATGTGACACTGAAACTGGCACACGTGATATCATTTAACTGAAACCATACTGTACACACACACACACACACACACACTGATAGTGTAGAACTGTCAGCCACGAGATGTTACCCTCAAGACTGTCAGCTTCAAGTATCCTCAAGACTGTCAGCTTCCAACAGACAAACCACAGCTCTCTCTCTCAGCCTGACAGTCTACACGTCTGCTATTATCTCACTATTATGTATTGCACCACCACTGTAGAGTGACATAGTGGAGGTGGGTGGGTGGTGGGAGGTAGTGGGGTGGGTGGGTGTGTGTGGGTGGGTGGTGGGGTGGGTGTGGGGAGGTAGTGTGGGGTGGGTGGGGTGTGGGTGGCAGGAGGTAGTATGGGTGGCAGGAGGTAGTATGGGTGGGTGGGTGGGGGTATGTGGGTGGCAGGAGGTAGTGTGGGTGGCAGCAACTAGTGTATGGATGGCAGCAAGTGTGGTATGGATGACAGCAATGGATGACAGCAAGTGATAATTCATCCACTTTTCACTAAACCATGAATATTGTGGTTTATGAATACATTTATACACACACATACATATATACATACAACAGCAACATACTGTATCCAGATTTATCATTTGTTGTATTAAAATCTGGGTATTGTATTTTAGTGACTTATACTGTTATATACAACTACTGTATATGTATAATAAATTCGTCCCTTATATATCAAATTATTTTTTCTCTGGTATAAATATGTTAGCGCTGTAAATACTGTATTGTAAGGCTGTATAAACTGTATTGTACTGTAATGCTGTAAATACTGGTACTGTAGAGCCGTAAATACTGTACTGTAACGCTGTATACACTGTACTGTACTGATGAGCAGGACAGGAGGATGTATGCAAGAGCCAGACACCAAACAAAGATAGAGTGTAGAAGGGCTGAAAAGGAGTTCCAGAGGCTGGTTGCAAGCGAGGTCAAGTCAAACCCAAAGGCGTTTTACCGCTATGCAAAGTCGAAATTAAAAACGTGAGTAGGAGTATCAGACCTGAGGCTGGTGGATGGTAGTTACGCAGATTCTGACCAGGATAAAGCTGAGGCATAGAACAGTTTCTTTTCCTCGGTGTTCACAAGAGAGGATGCGATTAGCCTTCCTGCGTTTGAGGACAGACGGTTCGACACACCACTGACCCACATTGTGTTCACAGAAGAGGGTATTAGAAATAAACTGTCCAGGCTAAAGGTCCATAAGAGTCCCGGCCCTGACATGGTGCATCCTAGAGTGCTAAGAGAGTTGTGCAACGAGTTTGCCGAGCCCCTGAAGATCCTGTTCTGTAAATGCCTGGATGAACAAAAGGTCCCCAGTGAATGGAAAGTGGCTTATGTGAGTCCTATCTTCAAGAAGGTCGATCATCACTCCACGAATAACTATAGACCGGTGAGCCTGACCAGCATAATATGTAAAGTACTTGAGAGTATTATCAGAGATGCGGCACTGGAACATCTACCACGAAACAACCTTGTAAAGGATTGCCAACACAGTTTTATGCCGGGGCGCTCCTGCTTAACACAATTGCTCAAGGTATTGGATATTTGGACCCATATTCTGGAACGGGGTGGTAATATCGACAATATATACCTAGATTTTGCCAAGGCTTTCGACAGTGTACCCCATGAAAGGCTGAAAATGAAACTGGAAGGGTACAGAATTTGGGGAAATGTCCTAGCATGGATAGAAGACTTTCTACATGACCACAAGCAGTGTGTGGTAATTAATGGCACGAAATCATCATCCATACCTGTCGCAAGCGGGGTACTATAGGGCAGTGTATTGGGCCCGCTGTTGTTTGTTTGTTTCATAAATGACATGCCTGACGTTGTACACTCCTCCATACAATGTTTGCCGATGACGCCAAGTTGTTTCAGGAAATCAAGAACCAAGCGGACTGTGAAGAGCTGCAGGAGGACCTCTGTGAGCTCCAAGAATGGTCGAAGAAATGGCTGCTGAGATTCAATGTCACGAAGTGTAAGAGGATGCACCTGGGGCGTACCAACGGTAAGGAGGCGTATCATATGTCCCAACGGGATGAAGAAAGTGCACTATTTGAGACTGAATGTGAGAAGGACCTAGGTGTGTATGTTGACAATGAGCTGAAGTTCTCGGGCCATTGCGAGAAGAAGGTAAATCAGGCAAATAAATTATTTGGTCTTATAAGAACGTCGTTCAGATATCTAGACGGTCCGTCCCTCGTAACGATCTTTAAGAGTGAAGTGCTTCCCCATTTGGAGTACTGTCACCCCCTCTGGTCCCCGAGATATGCTAGGGACTGTCAGTTGGTTGAAAATGTTCAAAGGAGGGCCACCAGACTGGTGCCTGCACTTCGGCACCTCAGCTACCCTGAGAGATTGGAGCGCCTGAACTTGCCTAGCTTATACTACAGAAGGGCAAGGGGGGACCTAGTTGAGGTGTATAAGCATCTCAGGGGGCACCACTCAGTTGAGTGTCCTCACCTGGAGCTGGCGGACGCTCGCCCCACAAGGGGTCACAGCTCAAGATTGAAGAAGCAGCAAGTCCAGAAAACTGTGAGGGCAAACTTTTTCGGAGTGAGAGTTGTGAACTGTTGGAACAATCTACCAGAGAGTGTTGTGATGGCACCGAGTGTGAGCTGTGTCAAGACAAGACTTGACCAACACTGGAACGGGTTCAGATACATTCAGGAGCTGGTGCATGCCCAGTACTTGCCAACAGTGTGTAACAGAGACGTGACCGATCGCCCAAGGGGCGAACGAGCCGATCAGTGGTGAAGAGGTTAGAAGTAAGTAAAAGTAATGCTGTAAATACTGGTACTGTAGAGCTGTAAATACTGTACTGTAGCTCTGTATACACTGTACTGTACTGTACCCCTGTAACAACTGTACTGTAGTGCTGTATACACTGTACTGTACTGTACCCCTGTATAAACTGTACTGTAGCGCTGTATACAACAAGAAACTGTCTAACTGTACATTGATAACAAATGTTTCAGTACAATCAACGTTCTTGACTGGCAGCGAACACGATTCAAGATTCTGCATCAAGCTTCTGCATCAAGCTTCTGAGTCCAGCTTCGGCGTCAAGCTTCTGCATCAAGCTTCTGCATCAAACTTCTACGTCAAGCTTCTGAATCAAGCTTAAAGGTGCCTCCAATGACCTCCCCTTCACCTACAGGATCCGTGATTAGGTGCCTCTCTCGACCTCATCTTCCACCTACAGGATCCATGGTTAGGTGCCTCCAATGCTTCACCTTTCACCTGACCTCTGCTCTAAGGTGTGAGAGGTTGTTGTCACCTACAGTACAAAGCAGAGACAATACTGTACACTTGTGACTAGTACTGGAGAATACAGGTGTGTGTGTGTGTGTGTGTGTGTGTGTGTGTGTGTGTGTGTGTGTGTGTCAGGGGGCGGTACAATACACACCTCCACACATCACAGTACTGTTCAATACACACCTCCACACATTACAGTACTGTTCAATACACACCTCCACACATCACAATGCTGTTCAACAATAATACAATATTGTCGACACATTGATGAACCTAGTACAATACCCTACATTTTGTTCATTATTCACCGCCTCTCATCAGCGTCTGAAGATCTGTTCCCAAAGTCGGTGTATTTCTTTAATATCATTTTAAGTAGTTTGTGTATTATTACTTTATGTATTCATATATGAAATACATAATATATACAGGTGTTTTTGTTTTTCTTAATCATAATACAAATACTGTTTCAGTCATTTCACAAATACTGTTTCAGTCATCTCACAAATAAAATAGAATTGATCGTCCTCAGTCTACTTGTGTTGGATGTGAAATGACTTAAACTGACTCCTGGATGATAATTTCTCCAGGTCTATTAATAACAAGACCAGCCCTAACCAGACCAGACCAGACCAGTGGAATAACGTCACTACCAAGGATCTCATTCTTCACATTATTGAACACCCTAAGTCAGGTCACAGAGGTTGAACACACAATCACGAATACTCTCGCAGCTTCACACGATTTACAAGACAATAAACAAAAGCTAAGAATTTTTCCTTGGTATTTTCCCGTTCTGGTGATGACACTTGACTACGAATTCAGCATTGGGATTGTCTTGATATATGGCCAGCAGCTTTGCATTGGGGTCCAGTCGACGATCACCTGTGTGTGGGAGGACCAGAGTTTACAGTGAGACAAAAATCAACAGAAAATAAGTTAAATTTTTGATGATGTGAGGTTAGGTTTGTGTAGACACCTTCACTAGTGTGTTTACAGGGGCTCATCATATAGCCTAGGTACAGTCCCCTTCACTAGTGTGTTTACAGGGGCTCGTCATATAGCCTAGGTACAGTCCCCTTCACTAGTGTGTTTACAGGGGCTCGTCATATAGCCTACAGGGTAGCCCCCTTCACTAGTGTGTTTACAGGGGCTCGTCATATAGCCTAGGTACAGTCCTTCACTAGTGTGTTTACAGGGGCTCGTCATCAGACTGTGTGTTTACAGGGGCTCGTCATATAGCCTAGGTACAGTCCCTTCACTAGTGTGTTTACAGGGGCTCGTCATATAGCCTAGGTACAGTCCCTTACTAGTGTGTTTACAGGGGCTCGTCATATAGCCTAGGTGCAGTCCCCTTCACTAGTGTGTTTACAGGGGCTCGTCATATAGGTACAGTCCTTCACTAGTGTGTTTATAGGGGCTCGTCATATAGCCTAGGTGCAGTCCCCTTCACTAGTGTGTTTACAGGGGCTGGTCATATAGCCTAGGTACAGTCCCCTTCACTAGTGTGTTTACAGGGGCTCGTTATATAGCCTAGGTACAGTCCCCTTCACTAGTGTGTTTACAGGGGCTCGTCATATAGCCTAGGTACAGTCCCCTTCACTAGTGTGTTTACAGGGGCTCGTCAGAAACATTTACCAAAACAAAACTGTCTAAAACTATCTCAACGAAGTTATGGACACAGTATAATTTGGCTACCACGACATCACCTAACACTAACCTAACCTAACCCCACCCAAACCTAACCTACCACCTTACCAATATTTCCACCTCGTTCGTGAATGGCATGATGGCTGAGGGCATTCTTCAGTGATCCCGTCAAGAGACAAGCGAGGAAGTGTGGTGCCGACGTGAGGGATGTACTGGTGTTAGTGGTGGTAGGTGGTGGTAGAGAGGAACCACATCCACTACCACCATTCCCCACGTTGGTCTTCTTGTACTGTAGCTCCCGACGGCCCTCCACGCGTCTAGGATTCTCCGGCAGCAAAGTCAGATCTTCGATGAACCTTTGAAGGAGAGGAAGAGAAGAAGTGTTATCAGGTGTTCCTAGTGTATTACAGGAGCTATTTACATGATCCTTGTTGATGGTAAGATATGAAAAGAATTAGGTGAGGTGAGGTGAGGTGAGGTGAGGTGAGGTGAGGTGAGGTGAGGTTAGACACACATGAGACATACTTGGTCAACAAATCACCCGCCGTCATTCGAGAGTTGAGCTTAACGGGGCAGTTAGTCTTGTTGAACTGTGGGGCAGAGACTCTCAACACCCCCTCTTGGTAGTCCACCTCGTTCTCTATGGGTCGTTGTATCGTCTCTTTACTCTTGCGGGACAACAAACGACGCATCTGTGGTGATCAAAGTCGGTGGTGAAAATAGAGGCTGTGTTTTGTTAACTTATGGAGATGCAAAGAAGGAGAAGGAGGAGGAGGAGGAATAGGAGGAGGAGGAAGAGGAGGAATAGGAGGAGGAGGAGGAGGAGGAGGAGGAGGAGGAGGAGGAGGAGGAGGAAGAATAGGAGGAGGAGGAGGAATAGGAGAAGGAGGAGGAATAGGAGGAGGAGGAGCAGGAATAGGAGAAGGAGGAGGGGCTGAGACACACACACACAATTGACCCACTAGCCAACTTCACCATATATAACTTATCACCTCTATTTATTGTATATTTTCATCTTTATGGCTGCCATGTTATCTTAATAAACTGCTTATTATTATTATTATTATTATTATTATTATTATTATTATTATTATTACACACATAACATAAGAACATAAGAATGGAGGACACTGCAGCGGGCCATACTGGACAGTCCCCTTTACACCCAACCCCTATCGCTCATATATCCACCCAACCTGTGTTTGAAGCTATCCAGCGTGTTAGAGTTAATGATGATGTTTGGTAACTTGTTCCACTCGTCCACTACTCTATTTCCAAACCAATGTTTACCTATTTCGCGCCTAAATCTAAATTTGTCTAATTTAAAACCATTGTTACGAGTTCGCTCCTGGTTGGAAAGCTTGAGTACCTTTGTAATGTCCCCTTTGTTTAGCCCTGACTTCCACTTATACACCTCTATCATGTCGCCCCTCACTCTACGTCTCTCGAGGGAGTGCACATTAAGATGCTTTAACCTGTCTCTGTACTCAAGGTTCCTAATGTCCGGGATTAATCTTGTCATTCTCCTCTGAATTCTTTCCAAGGATTCTATATCCATTCTGTAATACGGTGACCAGAACTGAACTGCTTAATCCAAGTGAGGTCTAACAAGGGCAAGATATAGTTAATGCTCACTCGCTGTTTCCTGTCCTGTAACCACGCCCTAATCCATTTTAGAACATCTCATTTAATGCCATGAGCCTCCACTTTTCTTATTAGTCTTTCGTGGGGGACTCTGTCGAAGGCTTTGCTAAAGTCGAGATATACCACATCATAGTCGTGCCCCTCGTCCACTGATTCGAAAACAGTTGAAAAGAATGTTAATAGATTAGTTAGACATGAACGCCCGCTTGTGAAGCCATGTTGGGAATCATTGATCAACTTGTGCTTCTCCAGGTGATTTCAAATAGAGTTTGAAATTATTGCTTCCAGCAATTTGCCTACAATTGATGTTTAACTGATTGGACGGTAGTTAGAGGATAGTGATCTATCTCCCTTCTTGAAAATCGGTATTACATTCACTATCCTCCAGGATTCTGGTACTACACCCGTTTTTAATAACATGTTAAACAACTTTGCTAAGGGCATACTAAGCTCTTCCTTACATTCCTTTAATACTCTGGCAAATATCTCATCGGGTCCTGGTGACTTATTAGGCTTTAACTTGTCCATTTCCTAACTAACATCAACACCAGTCATTACTACCCCATTTAACCTATTCTCCTCACTGTATACACCTACAGGAGTATAGTTGTGGTGTTTGAGAGCTTCTGTCTGGTACTGGCGACGTATCTGTGCCACAAGACGGTGAGGAACTGTCCACAAGATGTCTCTGTACTTGATCATGGCTTGAGTCAGCTGGGTCGTCACGTTGGCATATGTCATCTGTTGATTATAAATTTATTGTTACTGATGTTATAACATAAATATACTTTACAAGGTCGAAAATACATTGTGAATTATCTATACGTAATACATAGTGTCCTACCTATGCATAATACACTGTCGATACACTGAATTTTAATTACAGTATACATAATACATTGTGTTTTAACTACAGTATACATTGTGTTTTAACTATGCTTAATAAAGTTTTAACTATACATAATACAGTTTTATCTATGCATAATACACTGTTTTAACTACACATAATAAGTATATAAAGAATACACTTGTAGTCAATTTACTAACTATAAAATACATCTTTATACACACCCTAACACACCCCAACACACCCTCCACACACCCCAACACACCCTCCACACACCCCACACACACCCTAACACACCCTAACACACCACACACACCCTAACACACCCACAACACACCCTAACACACACCACACACACACCACAACACAACACACCCTAACGCACACCACACATACCCTAACACACACCACACACACACACCACAACACACCCTAACACACCACAACACACCACAACACACTCCACAACACACCCCAACACACCACAACACACAACACACCACAACACACCCTAACACACCCCATCCCAACACACCACCACACACCACAACACACCCTAACACACCCCAACACACCCTAACACACCCCAACACACCACAACACACCCTAACACATCCCAACACACACCACACACCACACACACCCTAACACACCCCAACACACCCTAACACACCCCAACACACCACAACACACCCCAACACACCCCAACACACCCCAACACACCCCAACACACCCTAACACACCACCACACACCCCAACACACCTCATGATTCAGCTGATGTTCCTTGTCTTCAGATGACCGCAGGTTGAGTTTGGACCGTTGGTGATGACCGTTGCTGGTTGGCAGGAAGAGGTTAGGAGCCATAATCATCGCTACATTATAAAGACTCATCTTATTGTCAGCCTCGAACGTTACCACTCGAGCACACAGTTCGAGGATGGCCTGGAGGGTGTCTCGGTGTGGGGTAGGCAGCAGGAGTATTAGCATTGTGAGAGCTAGTACCTTCTGTCCCATGTCTTCGATACCTGCAAGTGGAAGAAGGCTGTTAGGTTACGTCGGGTCGGGTCAGGTCAGGTCAGGTCGGGTCGGGTCGGGTTAGCTAGGCAACTCAACTACAACCATAGCTGCTATAAGATTCTCACACCAAATTTTCTTAATTATTTAAACAAATATAAGAACACTTGGAAACTTTCTCATGACCTTAAATAACAATTAATAGTTTATTATTATAAAAATGTAACCTTTGGATTGTTTAATAATTATCTTGACAGTAATACAGCCAATAACAGATCCACCAACCACCATTACATACAGCCTCCCTTTACCAAGTATTGCCGGTATTGTCGGTGAATCTTTGGCTGACTGTACATAGCAGGTGTTCCTACTTATGTACAAATACGACTTAACAACACACATACACAGTCAAGTACACACAGAACCAACACACACACACAGTCAAGTACACACACAGAGAACCACCACACACACAGAGAACCACCACACACACAGAACGCGACATCAGACGTACGATGAGTCTTGTAGAAGGCTGGCATGTAGGTGAGAGTTAGTAGTGGACGTGGCAGCTCCCTCAGGAAGGTCTTGACCAGGGAGGCGACGTCGTTGGGCGTGGCGTTCCTGAGGGCAGCGTCAGCAGTGGTGGAGGAGCTGTAGAAGTTGTTGTCTAGTGTACGTCGAAGCTGTTCAGTCTGTGATCTGTTGAGGTGAGTTAGAATTAGCTGAGGGTGAGTTAGAATTAGCTGAGGGTGAGTTAGAATTACCTGTAGATTAGTTATAATTAAATAAATATAAGAATTAGGTCAAATGAGTCAGAATTAGCTAAAATAAGTTAAAATTTTCTTAAGATGAGTTAGAATTACGTAAAAGTGAGTTAGATTAGTTGACAATGAGTTAGAATTACCTTTAGGTGAGCTAGAATTAGTTAAAGTGAATTATAATTAACTTTAGATGAGTCAAAATTAGCTAAAATTAGTTAAATTTTCATTACATGAGACAGAATTAGCTAAAAATTAGTCAGAATTTGCAAAAAAAAATATAATTAGCTAAATATTTATGAGAATTAGCTAAAATAAGTCAGAACTTGCAAAACAAAATAGTCAAAATTAGCTAAACATTGGTCAGAATTTGATAAAAATATTATGGTAATATCTCCATTGGCTAGAATCCCTCAGAAAATCGTTCCCAAAGCCGGAAAATTCCGGCTTTGGGAACGATTTTCCGCGGGGCAGATTTTTTAGGTTAGGTTAGGATAGGTTAGGTTAGGTTAGGATAGGTTGGGTTAGTTATGAAGCAAAATAAATTATATAGATCATAGACTACTGTATTTAATAGCTATATAAAGTTACTGAAGTAGAGAAATATTAAAATGAAAGTGATAATTTATTGACAAAAGTAGTGGAGATGTGAGAGAGAGAGAGAGAGAGAGAGAGAGAGAGAGAGAGAGAGAGAGAGAGAGGTCCTACCTGTGACCAGGGACCCTCAGGATACCCTCTTGGTGGAGTCCTTCTCGCTCCAGCTGCCACACCAACTGTAACAACAACAACAACATAAACAACAACAACAACAACAACACTACACTGCCATAAACCTGACCTCTACGGTATCTATCTATCTATCTATCTATCTATCTATCTATCCATCTATCGATCTATCTATTAATTCTATCTATCTATCTATCTATTAATTCTATCTATCTATCTATCTATCTATCTATCTATTAATTAATTATATCTATCTATCTATCTATTAATTCTATCTATCTATCTATCTACCTATCTTCATTAGGCTTATACTTAGGCCTATAAGATCCTTGAGTACAATAAACTCTGAATACTTTAACTTGAGTACAATAAACTCTGAATACTTTAACTTGTACTTGAGTAACATTAAAGTATCACTACTCCTACTCAAGTAACAGAGTCCAACACTACTCCTACTCAAGTAACAGAGTCCAATATATTTAGTACTCAAGACTGACCTTATAGAAAACGAGAGGTACATTGGACTCAAGGTGTAACTGCGGTAGAAAGTTGTGGTCCTTCTCCAGTAGACTCTCAAGTGGTACTCCAAAGACACCGCTCTCTGGAAGGTTGAGAACAAGAATTAATAGTTTTTTTACGTTTTTCCTCTTATTCTCGCCTTTATTACATTATTTTATTTCTTTGTCTGTTTATTCCTCCTCTACGTTGATTATATTTGCATTATTTTACTTCTCATTTATCTTAATTTTTGCTTTATTGCTGTTTATTCTTCTTTACGTGAATTATTAGCATTATTTCACTTCTCTGATTTATTCTTTATTGCTCTGTTTATTCTTCCTCAATCTCTCTATCTTCTCATTTATCTCAATTCTTTATTCTTCTATTTAATCCTCTTATCCTTTTACCTTCATTATCTTTACGTTAATTTATTCTATGACAAAAAAAAAAAAAAAATTGGCCAGGTTGTTTTTATTCATGAGGACTCCATCTTGTTTTTTTTTAATAGAATTCGTAAATAATTAAAAAAAAGCAATAAACTCAACCCATCCACCCACCTTCCTTACTCTGTTTCCTTTTCTTAAGTTTCCTCCAGCGGTGATGAATATTATGCTCTGTGAAGATAATGTCCAGTTCTAAGAGGGCGAGAGAGGTCAACTTCTGGAGGTCAGGTTCATCTAGCCAGTCCATGCGAGTCTGGCCACACCGACTGGTTTCCAAAATCAGCTCCTGTAGGGCCAAAGGTAGATGAGTTAGTGGAACTTTTTTTATGAATTGACTTGAATAATTATTAATAACCTATCTGGGAATAACTAATATAATCGGTTTGTTTGAATTATCTTTGGTTTAGCTCTGTTATTGTTTGTATACCTGTACTGTCTAGGTATATTGTTTGTACTAGAGTGACTGTATGCTAGTAACTGTCTGCTAGTGACTGTCTGCTCCTGACTGTATGCTAGAGACTGTACTTTTTGTTTCTCTGGGTAAAGTTTACGTAACACTGCCCTAACCTAACTCAATAAAAATTTAATTCTATCATCCTAACAACACTAACACACACACACACACACACACACACACACACACTCACACTCACACACACTCACACACACACATACTCACCGGAAACTCATCGTCATCCCTCTGGTACCTCACTTTAAAGCCCAAATCAGTGGCCGAGCCTGAACGAGGTCTGTTCTCTCTGTTCTCTCTGTGTTCACGGTGTTCACGGGCGTCCCTAGGAAGGCTGATTGAATACGCCTTCCTTAGTTCTCCTGAAGGACGCCGGGAATCCTACAGAAGGAGTGTCAATAAATAAAACAATTTTGATCCACAGCACAGCACAGCACAGCACAGCACAGCACAGCACAGCACAGCACAGCAGTAATTTATTATTTCATGTTGAATTATTTTTTCTCTTGAGTTAACATATTAGACTCAATATGGCGCCAAAAGTACACAGAGACTATTTCATCTTGAGATTAGGTTAGGTTAGGCTATATTAGACTCATACCGTGATAGACTCCAGATCCTGTGAGCCTTGGGATGAATTAGACTCGACAGATGGGCGTTTCTCCTTGGTACAGCGGGCGTGGGGTATATGTACCGACCCGATGTATCGATAGTTCAGTACCTGGACCTCTGTTGTGGGCAAGTAAACACATCATAAAGATTCGGTAATGAGTCTTATAGTGAAAGAAGAAACTAATTAAACAGTCTAATGAATAATAATAATAATAATAATAATAATAATAATAATAATAATAATAATAATGATAATAATAATAATAATAATAATGATAATAATAATAATAATAATAATAATAATAATAATAATAATAATAATAATAATAACATACCATGGTCATCCTGCGTAGCCTCGGGGAAGCCATACTGTCCTTGCTTCGACGAGTGGAAATGCTTCACGTCCCTGGCGATATCCCTGGCGTAGGATCTTTGTCTCCTTAGTTCCTTTCCCTTGGTAGGACCTGACGCCATCTTGGGTAGCATATCTAACGAGGGGGCGCGGTAGAGGTGGTGGGGAGAGGAGTGGGGAGAGGAGTGGGGGGGAGAGTGGTCATCTCGCCATTGGTTCCTGAAATATGGAGGCAAGATGAGGGGGTGAGGGGGGGGATAGTTAGGGTGTGTTGGTAGGGGGTAGGAGGGGTGTGTTAGGGATGTGTGTGTGTGTTTGTCTAACTATATTTTCCACACAGTGATGTATGGACAATGTAATACCTAACCTAACCTAACCTAATCTAACCTAACTTAACCCTTTCTCGCCTCTGAGGTATCGTTAGGGTGTTTAATCATCAGGTAAAACAAAGGTGTGAAAAATTAACTAATTGACTTAACACCTGGAAAAAACTCACCTGGCAGACGGGGCATCACCAGGTAGGTCATGTCTACGTACAGCGGGGTGTGACCTGGTCGTTGTGTGATGAAGGTGGTGGTTGTGGTCGTTGAAGGGGGTCGTTACGGAGGGGGTCGTTACTAATGAATGGTTACCTGAGTCTAATGACCCCCGAGAACGACTCAGATAAGGGTCAACCCATGATTTAGGGTGTGGGTCCGGTGGCGTTCTTGGAGGTGAGACCGAGTCCAGCGAATCCGGGGTGGCGCTACGACTCCTTGTGCCCGTACTGGAGTTCTGTTGGGGGAGAGGGGGTGGTTAGAGTGGGGAGAGGAGGAGTGTGGGAGGGGGAGAAGAGGAGAGTGGGGAGGGGAGGGAGAGGGAAGGTTGGTGGTGAGAGGGGTGAGGAGGGAGGGAAGAGTGGGGAGAAGAGGTGGGGAGAGAGGAGAAGGAGGAGAGAGAATGTTGGGGAGATTAAATATGATTATTAATTGGGAGAGGATCAGGTTATGGGAGGGTGTTGGGGAGAGGAGGTGATCAGAGGGGTAGAAGTGTAGGAGAGGGAGTATTGGGGAGACTATTTATAACTAGTGGGGAGATGGGGAGATTAAAATGGATAGAACGTCATAGTACTAAAGTTGGCGATATTTTACGTCAATTGGCGATACTCACGTCAGTGTTGGCGAAGAAGTTGCGTATATCAGGCTTTTGGCGTTGCTTCTTCCGGCGTATAGTTGCGTTAAGGGTCCGTACGCGACGCTTCAACGCTTCTTCCTGCAGCACAACACAAGAGACGTTAATATTAGGCGTATTAATAGTTTTGCTCCGTCAGTGAGTGAGTGAGTGAGTGAGTGATTTAGCCAGTCAAAAAGTCACTTGCAAAGGCGTTGGTGTAGTGAAGAGGTGTGTGTGTGTGTGTGTGTGTGTGTGTGTGTGTGTGTGTGTGTTTGTGACTCACCTAAGGAAGTTCTCAAACTCACCTGGGAACTTAATTAAGGTTTCACACACACCTGAATCTACCTGGAGACGCAATTTTAGCTTCCAGTACACAAAAATACACCTGGTGATTCAATTAGGTGAGTGTACTTAGGTGTGTGGGGGTGTAGACTCGTAGGGTAAAGGTTCAACACTCACCTGGCGAAGTTAATGACTCACCTGGGGACGGCCTGTCTCACCTGATGGTCAAAACCTTAATTAAACCACGTGAGTGTGTATGAGTGAGTCAAATTAGTCACCTGAGTCACCTAAGTGTATCTCTTTATACCGTAAGACACCTGGTGGCCTGCTTGAATCACCTGATAGTTACCTGAGTCACCTGATAGTTACCTGAGTCACCTGATAGTTACCTGAGTCACCTATGTGTATCTATTTCTCCCGTGAGTCACCCATATCTCTCTCTCTCTACCCCACGATTGACCTGGTGGCCTGCTGAGTCACCTGATAGCCTCCTGACTCACCTGGTGGCCTGCTGAGTCATCTGATAGTCTCCTGACTCACCTGATGGCCTGCTGAGTCACCTGATAGCCTCCTGACTGACCTGATAGCCTCCTGACTGACCAGGTGGCCTCCTGACTCACCTGGTGGCCTGCTGAGTCATCTGATAGCCTCCTGACTGACCAGGTGGCCTCCTGACTCACCTGGTGTCCTCCTGACTCACCTGATGGCCTGCTGAGTCACCTGATAGCCTCCTGACTCACCTGGTGGCCTGCTGAGTCATCTGATAGCCTCCTGACTTACCTGGTGGCCTGCTGAGTCATCTGATAGCCTCCTGACTCACCTGTTGGCCCACCTGAGCACACGTGAACTCACCTGGCGAGGGTTAAGAGTACCCATAAACTTGGTCAGGGTCATGTTGTCCTCGGAGAGCTCTGAGTCAGCCTTGACAGGTATACCCAAACCCTCGAGGAAATGTTCATCTGATTCCCCTTCATCTGTGGGCAAGAGTCATGGGTTAGGTTAGGTTTGGTTGGGTTTAGGTTAAGTTGGGGGACACACACACACATACATACATTAAAAATATATATAAACTTAACACACACACACACACACACACACACACACACACACACACACACACACATAACTCACCCTCGTGGCTCCTGGCTTCCTCCTCGGAGTGGGAGTTGGAGTGTGAGATACTCCTGTAAGTACGAACTTCATTCCAGTAATCCCTCATGTCTACTCCAGCATTAGCCTCCATATTTAAGTGTGATGGAGGGATGGAGGGAATGGAGGGAAGGATGGAGGGAGAGAGGGGGGGGGAGGGAGGGAGGGAGGGTAGGTTGATTTTTGTTGCGTCTTGGTAAGGCTTCCTCCTCTTGTTCCTATATCGCCATCTTGAACCTGTGAAAATAAATTAATGAATAAATAACTTGATAAAATAGTAACAACAACAACAACAACAACAACAACAATAATAATAATAATAATAATAATAATAATAACCACAGTGACGCTTATAATCTTAGCATAATATGATTTCTGGGTATATGTATAAGTAGGTACTGTATGCCTGTATGAATGTACAGTAAGTATGTATACACACTCGTGGTACTGTGTATATTATCACGTGTATAATAAATAATGCAAGATAATTAGTACAAGCAGGGCGGGGAGGTCAGGGGATCCGCCCAAACGTTTACTCACACACACACACAGTTGAAGCGTATATGGGTGTTTGATTCTGAAATTCAACTCGACTTTTTCCCACCAATAATTGCTTGGTTACTTTTACGCGCCAAAATTATTTAATACAATACTTTACTGAACAGTGAACGAGTTAAGAATATGGACGATTCATCTTTTACAACGAACCACAAGTATTGGCGACTTAGCGAGATAAAAAAAGGCCAAACTTCTCCCACTGTCTTTTGTAGTATGGAAATAAAGCCCTAAAAAAAATGTATAAAATGAAGCAAATTTCCTTCAATCCATCACCAGTTATTCCCAAACTGTGAAATAACTACGGTAATTTTCCTCTCTACAACGTTACTATACTGTGATAAGAAATACGATATATGCTTATCTCCTGGCGTGTTTTTAACTGGGACGGCGCGGCGGCCTTGTAGTCGAACCAATACGTGACGAGAAACACATATTGTCATTTCCTGTACATTATGGCTCCTTATCGACTATATCGGTATTATATAAACGATAAAATAATGTTTTTTCCTTGATATACATTGAAAGGGAGAGGAATTTCACGTTAATTTTAAAAAGATTGATGATTTTTAGGCTATCTTGTTACATTATTTCAAACTCTGTTAATTTGTTCTGTATTTACATCTCTTGTATTTAAGGAAGAATGACAATGAACATTCTAAATAATACTAAATAAAGATAAATATTAGTGTAATTATTAGTGTTTTTATTTAATACATGAAAAAATTACCTTCCATCATCTCGATCGACCAACATTTTAAAGCCACTTCGATTCTCATTTAATCTTGGCTATTTTTCCTTCGTTTAATCTAGAGGTTTACTAAGGAGTAATTAAACAAGCTAAAATCTTTATATATACAGCTAAATTATTATTATCATCATCATTAAGGCGTAAATTACTCATCTAGCGGAGTGATGTAGAACTTCGTCGATGGCTGATATCAATACGTCTCTCCCCATGTTGTCACCTCCATTTCACTTGATATATTTCACTCCTATACTTTATCATAACACAAATATATAACATAAATATAGTTTTTTTAACCTATAATAACATATAATCTCCTTAATGGGTAAATATATCCCATATAATCACCAGTATTATAAGAATTAGTCATTATTGAACTGGTTAACGCGTCTACAGTTGGGTATACAGTCTACAGTTTAGTTCACTCACTCAGTTATCGCACTCTTGAAGGAGTTATGTAGTTTCATGTACCTAACATTAACCTAACACTAACACTAGCCTAACACTAACCTAACACTAACACTAGCCTAACACTAACCTAACACTAACACTAACCTAACCTAATACTAACTTAACACTAACCTAACACTAACCTAACACTAACCTAACACTAACCTAACACTAACCTAACACTAACACTAACCTAACACTAACCTAACACTAACCTAAAACTAACCTAAAACTAACCTAACACTAACCTAACACTAACACTAACCTAAAACTAACCAAACACTAACCTAATACTAACCTAAAACTAACCTAACAAGGCTTAAATAACTCACCCCCCCCCCCCTATAAAACACTCCACTGAACCACTCTGGGTACAAACTGTGATAACCTTAGGCCTCTCATGTAACTATCTGCTATAGGCCTAACGCACACATGAGCTGAAGAGATAATACGCTCTCAAAACACAGTACGGAGTGATAAGAATATGCAGTGGTTCTCGTTCTGTGGTGTATTAAACCTATGTGTTAAACCTGTGCGTTCAACTTGTGTGTTAAACCCTGGCCTAGTAACATGTAGTAAGGAGAGAGAGAGAGAGTAGACGTGAGAGGGTCAGGGAGTGAGAGGGGTCAGGGAGTGAGAGGGTCAGGGAGTGAGAGGGTCAGGGAGTGAGAGGGTCAGGGAGTGAGGGATAGAAGGTTAACGTATTACATGGTCTCTCTAGCCTAGTGATAAGACTATTAAAAGAGGCGGTGAAATACTCGGAGGGAGGGAGAGTGACAGGGAAGTGGGAGGGAGAGACGGATTGTGGGAGGGAGGGAGGGTAAGCGTGTCATCTCTCTAGTGAGTGTCATCATCCTGGATACCAAAAAAAAACATTCCTGCTCGATTGTAAACTAACTATTTCACTTATTATTTCTACCTTATTCTCTCCATTGTAGGGAATATCTCTCACTTCTAGAGGCTAAATAAGGCTAATATCTCTCACTTCTAGAGTCTAAATAAGGTTTTTTGTTTAAGGAGTCGCTTGGATTTTATTTAACATTATCGACCAAATGCCTTGTAGTGGACGTCTCCCCTACAACTGCCTACAACTGCGTAGCCACAGCCACCACCTGCTACCGCCTTCCCTAGCAACCAACCAGATGTTACCGTATCTTAGCAACGGAACCAGGAACCGGCGATTTTCTGGGTTTTCCCAACATGACTCATAGCGGCTGCTGGGTATATAAGCTCTGTCTCTCCATTGAGATTCATTCTGATCATTCTTCTTGAACAAGCAACACCTCCTCCTCCGCCGCTGCCTGGCTGCCTTCGCTTCTCCTCGCCTGCCTGGTGGTCCTCGCTCCCGCCAGCGAGCATGGCGACCCACCAGCTGTCCTTCTCTGAGTTTCCTCACCAACCGGCTTTCATTCTGCCCATTTTCCTGAACAAGCAACACCTCCTCCAGCAAGCTCCACGCTGTCAGCATTCATTCAACCAGGAGGCCAGCAACAGGCAACATCTTCTCTAACGAAGCTCCTGCACATCTACCTCCTTCAACACGCTACTCACTGAACGTCTCTACTGAGCAGCTCCTCACCACACGGCACCTCCAGCACCAAACTGTCTATCATATAACTTACATTATACAAGTAAACCACATTAGAGTTTCCTTCCATCCTGAGTGCTAGACAACATTATAACACGAATCCCTACAGCCTTCTGACGTCATGATCCCCCAAGTATGTAGATTCAGGAATTAAATAATAAAATATAAGTAATTAACAAACCACTGTCCCGTGTAGCAATTAATTAAACGTGTTATTAGACTTTATTCAATTAATTAAGGTTTACCAGAAATAAACAGAGTAAATATAATGAAAGTGAGTTATTTTTTTTTATTGTTTCACCATTGATTACGTTTGTTGATGTTTGTTTGTTTGTTTGTTTGTTTGTTTGTTTGTTTGTCTGTCTGTGTGTGTGGTAATGCCTCGTTAACCAGTTCAATAATGACTAATTCTTATATTGCTGGTGATTATATGATATATATTCACCCTTAAAGAGATTATTATAGGTTATTACAAGTGAACGTGGGCCCTTCGTGCTTGGCTAGAGCACAACCGCCGTCCGGCTGACAGCGTACAGCGACAAAATTGTTAATTAATGCCTCCCTAAAGAAACCATCGACATGGGACCAGGTTTGTTCCACTCTAAGAATTTTTTGCGATTTTTCCACCAAGTTTGATGAAAAACGATTGTGCCGTTTCGGCTGCCCAGAACAGACACACACACACACACACACACACACACACACGGCTATTCCTATAGTATATTAGATAGGCTAAAAAGATTATATTTATGTTATATATTTATGGTATAATAAAGTATAGGAGTGAAATATATCCAGTGAAATGGAGGAGACAACATGGGGTGAGTATTGACATCAGCCATTATTATTGAACATTATCCACCAAATGCTTCTTGACGTCATGATCCCCAAATTATGTAGATTCAAGAATTAAATAATAAAATATAACTAATTAACAAACCACTATCCTGTGTAGTAATTAATTAAACGTGTAATTAGACTTTACTTAAATATTTAAGGTTTACCAGAAATAACTTGCAGTAAATATAATGAAACTGAGTTACTTTTTTCTTTATTGTTTCGCCATTGATGAGATTACGTGATTGGTTTGTTGATGTCTCTCTCTCTCTCTCTCTCTCTCTCTCTCTCTCTCTCTCTCTCTCTCTCTCTCTTCTTCCACCTCCACCTTTTGTTACTCTTCCTATTGTTTCTCCTCCTCTTCCTCCCTCCTCTTCCTCCTCCTCTATGACACCTCTCCTGCCTCTTCCTCCCCTTCTTCCCCCTGCGTCGTGGCTCTGCAATATTGGATTGGGGTTGGGTTACTAACATCGTCTACCTCCCCCGCCGGACAGGTTATCAGGGGGGTCAATCTCAGTGACGTAACGTAAGGGTGGGTGGGAGGTGGTGGGAGGGAGGTGAGTGGGGGGTGGGAGGAGGAGAGTGAGAGAATGAAAGTACTTTCACCACACATTTACCATCTACTCCTAACTTACTGACACTAACATAACCTAACACTAACACTAACACTAACACTAACACTAACACCTAACCTAACACTAACACTAACTAACACTAACACTAACCTAACACTAACCAAACACTAACACTAACCTAACACTAACCTAACACTAACCTAACACTAACCTAACACTAACACTAACACTAACCTAACACTAACACTAACCTAACACTAACCTAACACTAACACTAACCTAACACTAACCTAACACTAACACTAACCTAACACTAACCTAACACTAACCTAACACTAACACTAACCTAACACTAACCTAATACTAACCTAACACTAACCTAACACTAACACTAACACTAACACAACACTAACCTAGCTTACTGACACTAACCTAACACTAACACTAACTTCTTTTAACATAACACTAACCTAACAGCACTAACCTAACACTAGCACTAACTAACACTAACCTGTACTGACCTAACACTAACTAACACTAACGCTAACCTAACACTAACCCTAACACTAACCTAACACTAACCTAACTTTCACCCTACTTTTACTTTTAAACACACCTAACCTAACACTAACCTAACACTAACACTAACCTAACACCACCTTACACCTCACCTCTCCCCCTTACACAACACACTGGAGGAGATTTATCTTGTCAAAAAACTTTCAATTTCAGTTCATATCCTGGTGTTAAGAGACCCTGTGTGAGCTAACTCTCTCTCTGTCTCTCTCTAGAAGTGGAGAGTAAGTGGGTGAAGAGAGAGAGAGAGAGAGAGAGTGTGTGGATGGGTACAGATTCAATCCACATCCACTTAACCATCTCGTCCCCAGCCACACAGTCAAGCCGCGTGTCTACTTCCTAAGACGGACCCTGATCACAGTACCCCCCTCCCCCCCACAGGTGAGTCAAGTTTACCTCGGGTCCACTTCACAGGTACACACACATACACACAGGTACACACACACTTAGGTACACACACACACACACACACAGGTACACACACACACACTTAGGTACATTCACACACACACGCACACACACACACACACACACACACACACACACACACACACACACACACACACACACATGTGTATGTCTAAATCAAATGTAAGTCTGTATATTTTCAGCCACCAGCTACACTCTATTAACAGCCGTTTGTGTGTGTGTGTACACACACACACACATCACACCTAACCTAACCTAACACTAACCTAACCACACACAACCAAACTTCACGCAACTACGAATGGTCAGGAAGTGGACTGACAACCCTGACGTTACCTAACAACCTTGTACCCACCGAACCGCCCAATTGAGTCATTACCATCATTCACACATCAATAGCAAGAGACGAATTCATGATTTATGTGTGTGTGTGTGTGTGTGTGTGTGTGTACGTACCCTGTTAGCACCGTTTGGCTTGTGTCCGTTACGAGTGACACACACACACACACACACACACACACACCTGTAACCAGTATTTAGAGTATGTAATTAATAACTTACAACCATGGATGTATAATTATAAACATTTATTATTCATTGACCTTCAGAGGTTAGGTTATCATAGAGGCGAACAGTGAGTGTAGGAGCCGGCATCTATTCACGTTGACTGGCTGACTGGCTGACTGGCTCACCACAGTATCATTCACCCCCCCCCTCTCTGAAGTAGATAGTTCTTGTTAAAACTGACTTAATTACTCACATTTGGGAATTAGATACTTAACTTCACACTTGTAATTCCCTAGTAGTTGATGTAGTTATAGTACATGTAGAAAGTAAGTTAACAATGATTCATGGGTCAACAAGATCATTTCTCAACCGGTTATTTATAAAAAGTATAACCACAAAACTGATCACTTGTTGACGATGGCAGTACAGTCCACGGGGCTTGATTTCAGTCTGTCGCTGGACCCAAAAGAACCCAGATCGGATACTGAGACCTCTGCAGTACTAGGCCAACCTTCTCTGTACAGCTGTATATAATCAGATCTACATAATACACTGTAAATATATACACACAGCCGTCGTGTATATCTCATCCAACATTTATTGAAGAAATTAACTTCTGTAGACATTAATTAACGACAGTCCCGACATCTGGGTAATAACAACATGACTCCAAATAACTACAAGAAATATATTTAAGTGGGACTGTCTGCCCGCAAGTTCCACTCATTATACACACACACAAGTTCAAGTTCACAAGAGACCAGACGTAGGGTTCAATTTGGGTCAGGTACAGGGTACGACACACACACACACACACACACACACACACAACACACACAATAATAATAATCACACACACACACACAGTAACTGAGGGACCCTTGACCAGTTTCAAGTTCATAAGTGAGTCATTGGAGGGAGGGAAGGAGGGAGGGAGGGAAGGAGGGGAGGGAGGGAAGGGGAAGGAAGGGAAGGAGGAGGGAAGGAAGGAGGAGGGAAGGGAAGGAGGGAAGAAAGGGAGGGGGAGGGAAAGAAGGAGGGAGAGAAAGAAGGAGGGAGGGAAGGGGAAGAAGGAGGGAAGGAAGGAAGGAGGAGGAGGGAAGGAAGGAGGAGGGAAGGAAGGAGGGAAGAAAGGAGGAGGGAGGGAAAGGAAGGAGGGAGAGAAGGAAGGAGGGAGGGAAGGAAGGAAGGGGAGGGAAGGAGGAAAGAGAGGGAGGAAGGAAGGAGGGGAGGGAAGGAAGGAGGGAAGGAAGGAGGGGGAGGGAGGAAGGGGGAAGGGGAGAGAAGGAGGAGGAAGGAGAGAGGGAAGGGGAGAGAAGAGGAGGAAGGAGGGAGGGAAGGAAGGAGGACCACCACACCACCATACAATTACACTCACTTCTCTATTCACCACTAAGCCTCCTCCTCTGCCCTCACACACACGACCACATATGTAGTTACTTTGGGTATGAAACTTGGACAAGGGGAGGAGAAGGGGGAGGATGTAGATGAGGGGAGGAGAAGGGGCAGGAGGTGATGATGAGGGGGAGGAGGATGTAGGGATGAGGGGTGGAAGAGGAGGAGGGGGAAGGAGGAGAAGGAAGAGGAGGATGTAGAAGGAGTGGGGAGGGGGAGGAGGAAGAGGGGAAGAAGGGAGCCATCACATTAAGGGGGAGATAGTTATCGAAGGGGTGTATGGTGACCCAACACTCCATTGTTCCCTTGGGGTGATAAGGAAGGTGGGGGAGAGGAGGAGGGGGAGAGGAGGAGGGGAGAGGGGGAGGAAGATTGGCCTTGACCCCTGAAGGTGTTGGGGAGGATGCTGCCGGGGTACAAGAGGTCACGAGGTCATTAGAGGTCACGAGGTCACAAAAAGCCATAAAAGGTCACGAGAGGCCACAAGGTCAGAAGAGGTCAGAAGAGGTCACGAGGTCATTAGAGGTCACGAGGTCACAAAAAGCCATAAAAGGTCACGAGAGGCCACAAGGTCAGAAGAGGTCAGAAGAGGTCACGAGGTCACAAAAAGCCATAAAAGGTCATAAGAGGCCACAAGGTCAGAAGAGGTCACGAGGTAACAAAAGGTCATAGGAGGTCATGAGATCATATGAGGTCACGAGAGGTCATAAGAGGTCACAAGAGGCCATAAGACGTCACAAGGTCACAAGCGGTCATAAGAAGTCACAAGAGGTCATAAAAAGTCACCTGCCTGACCTCACACTTGTTCAACACCTCACTAGTGGCCTCAACAGGTGATGTACATGTACAGTATGTATGTACAGTATGTATGTATGTATGTATGTATGTAATAATAATAATAATAATAATAACAATAATAATAATAATAATAATAATAATAATGATAATAATAAACGGTTTATTAATAGAGCTGCAGCCGGTGGCTGAAAATATACAGACTTACATGTGATTTAGACATAATGATATAATATGCGTTGAATACATTTACAGGGCTGTACAGTACATAAATCAGGAGTTGTTTATTATTTTAACAATAGATGGGATGGTGCTGTTCTTATATCTATCGGTGCGGGCTCCTATGGGCTGAATTTTGTTGTAGTGGCGGACTGCGCAAGGTGGGCGGGGACTGCCGGTGGCAGGAGGTGGCGATGACGAGGGTGGTGCAGTAGTCCACTGCCAAACCTTGCTAGTGCTTGGTGGTGGAGGTCACTGAGGGATGGCATTTCCAGGGTGGAGAGAGCGTTGGTGTAGCCGGAGTATTCTGCGCCGAGCATGATTCTGCAGGCCCTTTTCTGTACCTTCTCTAGCTGACGTTGTTGGGTGGAGTTGAGAGAAGACGACCAGGTTGGTGACTCATTCGTTAGTTTGGGGAGAATAAAGGCGTTGTAGATGGTCCTCAGCTCTGGCGTGGGTGTCCCAAGTGACCTGAGTCGTCGTAGCATGTAGAGACGGTACAAGGCTGCCTTGACGGTGTTGTTTACATGGGCCTTCCAGTCCAGTTTGTGGTCTATGGTAACACCCAGGAGTTTGGCATACTGCACTAACTGGAGAGGATGGGCACCCACTGTGACTGATCGTTGATCAGGATGAGGAAGCACAGTAGTCCCATCTTGGTCCCCTGGGTAACACCGCAGGTGAGGTGTTGGAATGTGGAGACAGAACCCTGGTACCTGACTGCCTGACCACGCTCACTCAGGAAATGAGTGAACCATGAGACCAGGTTGGTGGGCAGCCCTAGTACAATGGCCGTGTTGATAACAGTGCAGTGATCAACAAGGTCAAAAGCTTCCTGAAGTCAACAAGGGCAACGGCCAGTGATGTCTTACGTTTCTGCAGGTTTTTGTGAAGGAAATCCAGGAAGCTAACTAAGCAGTGTGATGTAGAGGAGGTCCTCATATTGCCAAATTGGTGTGGATCAATTGACTGATAAATACGAGCAAATGCCCACCCAAACACAAAGTCTTCACAGAGTAGACTGGGTATGGGGGTAATGGCAACTGGACTGAGGTCATTAGGGGACTGTGGGGTGGTGACCTTGGGGATAGGGGTGACAAATGCGGTTTTCCATTCATTAGGGCATTTGCTCTTGTCTGAGGGATGCATTAATAATAGAACAGAGGGGGGTGGCAAGTTCAACTGCAAACTCCTTGTAAATTTTGATTGGGAGGTATGTATGTATGTATGTATGTATGTATGTATGTATGTATGTATGTAAACCCTCAGAAAGACAGTCAGACAGACAGACACCTTAGCTCACCTGTTCATTAACTAATTAGCGGCTGTTCCACTTCGGCCATCTGTGGAGGAGAGAATATATGTAAGAATCATTATACACGAGATATATAATGACGATAATGATGACAATGATATATAATGAAGATAATGATGACTCATAATAATAATGACGACACTGATATATAATGAAGATAATGATGACAATGATATATAATGACGATAATGATGACAATAATAATGACGATAATGATGACTCATAATGATAATGACGACACTGATATATAATGAAGATAATGATGACAATGAAATATAATGACGATAATGATGACAACAATAATGACGATGATAATGATGACTCATAATGATAATGACGACACTGACATATAATGACGATAATGATAACAATGATATATAATGAAGATAATGATGACAATGATATATAATGACGATAATGATAACAATGATAATGACGACAATAATGATGATAATGATAATGATGACAATGATATATAATGACGATAATGATGATAATGACGATGATAATGATGACTCATAATAATAATGACGACACTGATATATAATGAAGATAATGATGACAATGATATATAATGACGATAATGATGACAATGATATATAATGACGATAATGATCACAATGATAATGATAATGATGACAATGATATATAATGACGATAATGATGATAATAATAATGACGATGATAATGACTCAATGCTAATGACGATGATAATGACTCATAATGCTAATGACGACAATGATATATAATGAAGATAATGACGACAATGATAATGACGACAATGATATATAATGAAGATAATGATGACAATGATATATAATGAAGATAATGATGACAATGATAATGACGATGATAAGGATGACAATGATAATGACGACAATGACAATGACGATAATGACAATAATAATGACGTGATATATATCATTATCGTCATTATCATCATCGCTACCACTCCTCTACCATTTATCCTCTCTCTCTCTCTCTCTCTCTCTCTCTCTCTATCTATCTATCTATCTATTCTCGCTATTTATTATGATGTGGTATATCTCGACTTTAGCAAAGCCTTCGACAGAGTCCCCCACACGAAAGACTAATAAGACAGGTAGAAGCGCATGGCATCAAAGGTAATATCATTAAATGGATTAGGGCGTGGTTACAGGACAGGAAACAGCGAGTGAGTATTAACGGCACTAAGTCCCATTGGAGCAACGTCACTAGTGGAGTTCCCCAAGGCTCAGTACTTGGACCATTATTATTTATTATATACATAAACGACATAGATATCGGCATAGACAGCAACATAAGTAAATTTGCTGATGACACTAAAATAGGACGTGTTATTAAATCTGACGAGGACTCCACAAAACTACAGGAAGATCTAAACAAATTTTTCGAATGGTCTGAAAAATGGCAGATGAAATTCAACGTGGACAAATGTAAAGCACTCAGTATACGAGATGTAAACAGGGAACCAGTTACCAAATGAACAACGATGCCATTGAGAAATCCGACTGCGAGAGAGATTTAGGAGTAATGATAAGTAGGAACCTTAAGCCAAGTAAACAATGTGTATTTGCTCGAAACAAGGCTAATAAAGTACTTGGGAGTTCTGTTACGAACCCCTCCACCCAGCACTACGAACCACGCCATCTATTGTCCTGATCTACCTACCCAGCACCACGAGCAACGCCATTTAGGGACGAGACACGAGTATGACTCGTCTTAGTTAACACTCCGGGGTTTCCCTTCTCCATATCCTGGTTGTTGCGTCACTTCCTCCAAGTCTTCTTTGTGAGCTCCAATTCGAGGAGAGAGGACTTGGCTCTGGGAAGTGACCACAGGATCATCTATCCTCTAAACCTACGGACAGTGACTACCTACCGTCTTCTACAATACTCAGCCTTACTCGTCAGCCATCTCAGCTCCTCACTTAAGTACTTGTATCTTGTATTGCCTCCCCCACGTCCACTTGCTTCAAAATTGTTTATGTTGTATTAATATGTATATACTGTTAATGTTTAGGTTAAGTTTGGTTAAGGGTAATTTATAAGCTGAATATTTTGTTTAGGGATTTATGGTACTTTATTATACACAACGAAAACTCGCATCCTTTGTCTACCCTTTTATAGTCCGATTGTCTTTGTTTTTTGTTGTTGTTACCTGTTGGGATCTGGGTAGACGTATAACTATATTCTAAATCCCTAACTCGTAACAGTTCATACAAAGGAGTGTTAGTTACAAGACTAGCGAGGTCATCCTAAAACTGTATCTTGCACTTGTGAGACCACACCTGGATTAGGCAGTTCAGTTCTGGTCACCGTATTACAAAATGGATATAGAATCCTTGGAAAGAATCCAGAGGAGAATGACGAGACTAATCCCGGGCATTAGGAACCTTGAGTACAGAGACAGGTCAAAGCATCTTAATGTGCACTCCCTCGAGAGACGTAGAGCGAGGGGCGACATGATAGAGGTGTATAAATGGAAGTCAGGGCTAAACAAAGGTGACATTACAAAGGTACTCAAACTATCCAACCAGGAGCGAACTCGTAACAATGGTTTTAAATTAGACAAATTTAGATTTAGGGGTGAAATAGGTAAACATTGGTTTGGAAATAGAGTAGTGGACGAGTGGAACAAGTTACCAAACATCCTCATTAACTCTAACACGCTGGATAGCTTCAAACACAGGTTGGGTGGATATATGAGCGATAGGGGTTGGGTGTAAAGGGGACTGTCCAGTATGGCCCGCTGCAGTGTCCTCCATTCTTATGTTCTTATGTTCCACCATAGGTAAAAGGAAGAGGAGGAGGAGGAGGAGGAGGAGGAGGAGAGGAGAAGAGGAGGAGGGGAGGAGGAGAAGAGGAGGAGGGGAGGGAGGAGAGAGGGGAGAAGAGGGAGAGGGGAGGAGGAGGAAGAGGGAGGAGGAGAGGGGGGAGGAGGAGAGGGGGAGGAGAGGAGGAGGAGGAGGAAGAGGGAGGAGATGGATTGTACTTCAGACCTTTCTGCCTGCTGTATATACGTAAACACACACACACACACACACACCACGTGAGGCCCCTCATAACACCATCTGTGAGGGAATTACACCACGTGAGGCCCCTCATAACACCATCTGTGAGGGAACTACTACACCACGTGAGGTCCCTCCTAACACCATCTGGGAAGGAGTTACTACACTACGTTTTTGCTGTTCAACACCTACATTAATCTGTATGTTCACTGTATGTTCCTTTACCTTTCTCTAATGAAGGCTTTTGTTAAACCACCAATGTATGTAATAAGTCATTTATGCCCAATGTATATTTTCAGCCTTCGGGCTGCAGAACTTTTTGGTCAAAACCGTTTATATATATTACATATATATACACACACACACACACACACACAGTTGCTGCAATACTGAAAGAATGAAAGAGAGAGAGAGAGAGAGAGAGAGAGAGAGAGAGAGAGATCCATGTGTGGTTCACCTCTCGCCTGTTTAAAGGGACAGTAGCCTTGGGCAATACCTTGGGCAATACCTTGGACAGTACCTTGGACAGTAGACAAATCCTCCTGTCAATATTGATACTGGATAGTGTACAGTAAACCGTCTTATTCCCGGACAGGTAGACAGACAGGTGTTCTTAATTAGGTAGACAGAACCCCCAGGTAATCATGTTGACGGGTCTGTTCCCCCCTTCCCCCTTTAACAGACGGCCCCCGTCAGTTCTTTTCATTATCTATCTGTCTGTCTGTCTGTCTAGGTAAGGGTGTATAAGTGGTGGTGGTGGAGGTGGTGGTGGTGGTGGAGGTGGTGGTGGTGGTGGTGGTGGTGGTGGTGGTGATTGGTAATGATAAAGTCATAAATTCATCATCATCACTACATCATCATCACTACATTAAAGATATCATGTCATTACCCTCATAGGGGTAATTAGATAATAGGTTGTTCAGTAATTAAGTTATTATATCTCTAATTACTTCATTATAACCACCTGAAGATTAGCCCCCCACCTTATGTTACCTGGTGATTAAGCTCCCCTAATCCTACCTCTGGGGGTTAGGTTAGTGTTAGGTTAGTGTTAGGTTTGTGTTAGGTTAGTGTCAGGTTAGTGTTAGGTTAGTGTCAGGTTAGTGTTAGGTTAGTGTTAGGTTAGTGTTAGGTTAGTGTCAGGCTAGTGTTAGGTTAGTGTCAGGTTAGTGTTAGGTTAGTGTTAGGTTAGTGTTAGGTTAGTGTTAGGTTAGTGTTAGGTTAGTGTTAGGTTAGTGTCAGGTTGGTGTGTTAGTGTTAGGTAGTGTTGAAGGTTGAGTGTTGTGTTAGTGTTAGGTTAGTGTTAGGCAGTTAGTAGTTAAGTTGGTTGGGTTAGTGAAGTTAGTGTTGTTAGTGTTAGGTTAGTGTTAAGTTAGTGTTAGGTTGTTAGGTTAGTTGTTAGGTTAGTGTTAGTTAGTGTTAGGTTAGTGTTAGGTTAGTGTTAGGTTAGTGTTAGGTTAGTGTTAGGTTAGTGCAGGTTAGTGTCAGGTTAGTGTTAGGTTAGTGTTAGGTTAGTGTTAGCTTAGTGTTAGGTTAGTGTTAAGTTAGTGTTAAGTTAGTGTTAAGTTAGTGTCAGGTTAGTGTCAGGTTAGTGTTAGGTTAGTGTTAGGTTAGTGTTAGCTTAGTGTTAGGTTAGTGTTAGTGTTAGTGTCAGGTAAGGCTGTTTGTTTACACTTCACGTCTCAACACCACAGCAGTTTGGTTGGCCACTGTGAAGCACTGGAAGGATAACAGTCAAAACCAGACATAATATTTATAATAATATATTGTAATTTAAATAATAATAAGGTATAAAAAATAAATTTGTATATATGTTGAAAATTGTACATAGTTGGTCTAGTTGACTAGTGAGTGTGTCAACGTCCCGTGGCCAGCATCAGTCAGCGCCCCTTGTGGCCAGCCTCAGTGAACGCCCCATGGCCAGCAGTAGTGAACGTCCCGTGGCCAGCATCAAAGAACGCCCCGTGGCCAGCAGTAGTGAGCGTCCCGTGGCCAGCATCAAAGAACGCCCTGTGGCCAGCAGTAGTGAACGTCCCGTGGCCAGCATCAAAGAACGCCCCGTGGCCAGCAGTAGTGAGCGTCCCGTGGCCAGCATCAAAGAACGCCCTGTGGCCAGCAGTAGTGAACGCCCCGTGGCCAGCAGTAGTGAGCGTCCCGTGGCCAGCATCAAAGAACGCCCTGTGGCCAGCAGTAGTGAACGCCCCGTGGCCAGCACCAGTCAGCGCCCCTTGTAGCCAGCACCAGTAAGCACTCCTGTATTATTTACATTATTTTGGTTGACTCTACATCTGGAAGACGTAGTTGAAGGTGACCACCTCGTTGATGTAGGCCTCGAGAGTCAGAGACAACACCACCAGCAGGAGAAGTATCAGCAGAGGCGTCAAGCACCCCAACTCATCCTGACCTCCCCAACTCTCTCTCAGCCACGACACGCCCTCCTGTAGACACCAGTGGGCATCAGTCCTACTCCCGGCAGCAGCGTCAGACAGGACACAGGTGCCGCTGTTGCTCCTGAAGAGTTTTGGACGCTGGCGAGAGTCCCAGCAGGCAGCCGCCGAGGACTTGGACTCACTTCTGGGACTGCTGACGCAGGTGGTCGTCCCACTGTCAGTATTGAAGCCCAGGAAGTCCTTCATGCTGTCGGCTGAGTTGTGGAGTAACAACACAAGCAGTTATCAACCGACGGTGACGAAGGCTCAGCTCCTCCAGGTCACTGTAGACTCTTCACTGTAGATCACCTTCAGGAAAATGTCTTAGACGTGCTGTATGTTTAGTCACTAATTCTCCCTAGTGACTTATCTCTCGTTAACTGTTGTGTTTACACGTGAGGTCCTCAAGCCTTCCTTACAGCTGGAAGATGTAGTTGAAGGCGGTGTTCTCGATGAGGTAACTCTCCAGCACCACCATTAGGTACAGCACGGCCATAGCGGGAGCCAGGAGGAGGCGGCTGTCGAACACCTTACTGTCGTATTCCATCTTGAGGAGAAGTAAACAAGCTGGAGGAGGAGGCGGTGTATCCTGACGAAGGTGAAGGATGAGTGAGGCGAAGGTCTACCCTGACGCAGATGAAGGAGAAATAAGACGTAAGAGTACCCTGACGAAGGTAAAACTCAGGTGATGATACGTCAACACAGGGGGAACAGATCCAGGTGCTGCGTCGTGGTCGGTCAAGGCAGCGGGTGAGTGAATATGTGTATGTCTGCTCTATAGCCAGTCAGGCGAGGGAGTAATGGATACACGGGGAGGTGCGGGCTTTATATATACCACTGGCGGGAGGGAGGGACGGTACAGGACCCGACCTTATCATCAAACATCAGCTGCCAAGTATGGATTATTTCATCGATATTATCTCCAACTGTTTTTTTTTTTTTTTAAAGAATTTCCGGAACACCTCAGGAACACGACCTCAAGGAACATGACCTCACGGAACACGAGATCGAAACACGACCTCAAGGAACACGACCTCACGGAACACAAAGATCGAAACACGACCTCAAGGAACACGACCTCACGGAACACAAGCTCAAAACACGACCTCAAGGAACACGACCTCACGGAACACGACCTCAAGGAACACGACCACAATGAACACGACTCATGGAACACGACCTCAAGGAACACGACCACAATGAACACGACTCAAGGACACGACCTCAAGGGACACGACTCACGGAACACGACCTCACGGAACACGACCTCAAGGAACACGACCTCATGGAACACGACCTCAAGGAACACGACCTCAAGAACACGACCTCAAGACGACCACTGTCCTGACACACACACACACACACACACACACACAGACACTACACACACAACTACACCTCATGTACACACTGAGGACGCTCATGGCTCTACTCTCATGAGAGGGAATGCACACAGCCATGTCCAGCGAGAGGGAGGGAGGGAGAGGGAGAGACGGAGAGAGGGAGAGTGAGAGTGTGAGAGAGAGGGGGAAGGAGAAGATGGAAGGAAGGAAGAAGGAAGGAGAGAAGGAAGGAGGAGAGGAGGGAAGGGAAGGAAGGAAGGAGGAGGAGGAAGGAAGGAGGGAAGGAAGAGGGAGGAGGAGGAAGGAGGGAGGGAGGGAGGAAGGAAGGAGGAAGGAAGAGTTGTGGATACAGGTGAGGTTCCATCAATATATCCTCACACCTGGTGTTGAAGGGGCAGGTCATTACTAACAGGTGAATGGGTGTTACCTGGAGGACGGCAGGACGGGAGGTGGAGGAGGACGGGAGGACGGAGGTGACGGCAGGAGGAGAGGACGGCAGGACGGCAGGAGGAGAGGACGGGAGGACGAGGACGGGAGGAGGAGAGGACGGCAGGACGGCAGGACAGGAGGACGGGAGGACGGCAGGAGGACGGACAGGACGGCAGGACAGGACGGAGGACGGCAGGAGGAGGCACGGAGGACGGTAGGAGGGAGGAGGAGAGGACGGCAGGACGGCAGGACAGGAGGACGGAGGACGGAGGAGGACGGGAGGAGGAGGACGGTAGGACGGCAGGACGATAGGACAGTAGGACGGGAGGACAGGAGGACAGGAGGGGGGAGGACGGCAGGACGAGGAGAGGAGGACGGGAGGACGGAGGACGAGAGGACGGGAAGACGGGAGGACGATAGGACAGTAGGAAGGGAGGACAGGAGGACACGGGAAGACGGGCCGGTTTATGCTCTGTCACACATAAGGACGTGTTTGTGTGCGTGAGGCGCTACACACACACACACAGACACACACACACACAGACACACACACACACACACACACAAACACACAGAGTCGATAATAATAACAATGTTAATATGGCTGAGAAGAGAGAGAGAGAGAGAGAGAGAGAGAGAGAGAGAGAGAGAGAGAGAGAGAGAGAGAGAGAGACTTGGCTGGGTAACCCTTATCTTGACGATCTCTCACCCCCTTTACCCCTCACCACCCCCTTTACCCCTCACCACCCCCCCTTACCCCTCACCACCCCCCCTTACCCCTCACCCCCCTTATCTCATACTATGTTATATTTAGCCTCTTATCCAAACGTACCGTAGCGCACCGACCGTCACTCTACCGTAAATATTCTCCCAGTTATGTAAGGGTCACGTTGGGTAGATTTGGAGGGGGTGGGGGTGGGGGGGATGTAACAAGAGCCGGTGGACAGTAATAACCCCAGCTTATTTCAGCTTGAAATTATTATTATTATTATTATTACTATTAGTATTATTATTGTTGTTATTATTATTGTTATTGCTGTTGTTGTTGTTATCAGTGGTAGTAGTAGTAGTAGTAGTAGTAGTAATAGTACTCCCAATGCGTGTATGGCTCTTCCTATGACGTCGATCACGCTATGGTGTGCAAGAAAGGGGGCTTCATATGCATGAGGCATGATGAAGTAAGGGATCTCTCAGCAAATATGTTGAAGGAAATCTGTCGTGATGTCAGGGTAGAACCGACCCTCCTTCCATGGGACGGTGAGATCTTTCAACATATGACTTCAAACACATCCAATGAAGCCCGTGTTGACGTCAGTGCTCGAGGATTCTGGACGCGGGGACAGCGAACCTTCTTCGACATCAGGATTTTTTATCCCATGGCCGCATGTCACCGTAACTTAGCTCTCGATGCTGCACACAGGAGGAACGAGAACGACAAGAGAAGGGCATATAGGGAGAGAATTCAGACCGCTGATCAAGGCAGCTTCACTCCTCTGGTGTTCACAACCTCTGGTGGGATGGGACCAAGTGCAAGATGCTTCTACGCCAAACTCGCGGAGGAGCTATCCGAACAGAAGCAGCAGCCCAGAAGTTATGTTACAGCCTGGGTGAGATGTCGACTGTCCTTCTCTCTCCTTAGGTCGGCTTTGCTCTGCCTCAGGGGAACGAGAGCATCGGCCCCAAAGCCGACAACAGTTGCAGATATTGACTATGAGGCAACAGTCACTGAATGCCGCATAGATCTGCGGCTCAACACAGCTAGGATGGCTACTTATGTAGCTACTTATATTAAGGTAATAAAATAGCGGCGAAGGTGTGGCTATTGGGAGGGGGGGGGAGGAGGCTGTAGTGTGTGTGTGTGTGTGTGTGTGTGTGTGTGTGAGCTATATTTACCCAGTCTGCATCTCTGAGCTATATTTACCCAGTCTGCATCTCTAAATATAGAATTGATAACGACAAGAATAGCTTGTCCAAACATTTTTACGTGTGTGAGTGTGTGTGTGTGTGTGTGTGTGTGAGCTATATTTACCCAGTCTGCATCTCTAAATATAGAATTGATAACGACAAGAATAACTTGTCCAAACATTTTTTACGTGTGTGTGTGTGTGTGTGTGTGTGTGTGTGTGTGTGTGTGTGTGTGTGTGTGTGTGTGTGTGTGTGTGTGTGTGTACTGTGGCAGTATGTTTATCTATGTCAGTGTGAAGTGTGTGTGTGTTTATACAGTAACTCATTCACACTCACACAGGATAGGTTAGGGTTACGTTACGGTAGGGATGGATTAGGTTAGGTTAGCATTAGGTTAGGTTGGGTTCTACCTCTGACCTCTGAAACATAATTACGAGTCTTTCCTGGTGGCCGGAGAGACACTTGAGAGCACTCACACTTATCATCTGAGTCAATGAGTACAAGCTCTCTACTGTTACCTGCCTGACCTCCATCACGTAACACCTGTCTTGGTTCACCTGGGGATTAGTGGAGATGTGAGGTGGATGAGTGTTGGTGGATGGGTGGATGAATGGAGGAATGGAGGGAGTGGATAAGTGGATGAATGGATGAGTGGAGGTGGAGGAATGGATGAGTGGAAATGTGTAGTGGATGAAAATGGATGAATGATGCTTGGTAAACAGTGCTCCTTGGTGACGAGGAAGGAAGGCAGGAAGGAAAGAAGGAAGGAAGGAAGGAAGGAAGGAAGGAAGGAAGGAAGGAAGGAAGGAAGGAAGGAAGAGATGAAGGAGGAAAGAGTGAGGTGAGGTAAGTGAGAGGTGGGGTGGGGTAAGTGAGAGGTGAGAGGTGAGAGGTGAGGTGAGTGAGAGGTGAGGTGGGGAGTGAGGAGGTGAGAGGTGAGGTAAGTGAGGAGGTGAAGTAGACCCAAGCACAGGGTACATCTAGTGTTGTGTTGACATTATGAGGCAGACCCTGTTTATAGACCCATGAGGGACAACGATACACAGGTATATTTAGAACAACTATTGATTACCTGAGCTATAATTAAGTACAGTGTCACGACCCCATGATAGGAAGGCCGCGACGGTC